TAGACATATCCATTTTTTCACCTGCCTGTCTAGACTGACTGAGAAATCAAAAGTTTCAAACCATTTTACACATAATAAAATTTGTTGGGAAGGAAGGATAATTTTCAAGCACACTTGGGGCTGAACTAATCTTTGATCAGGCTAGTCTCTTTATATGTACTTTAATGCTGTAAGGAAAAACCTTAATTTAAAAAAGGCTGAATAAGTGTAATGTCAAAATATTAATACTGGTTGTCTCTGGGTAAAGGGTTTTGAATGATTCTTTTCTTATTCATTCTGCATGTTTCTGTACTTCATACAATGTGCCATGTATACTTGGATAATCAGAGTGAGAAAAGTATTCTCAAGTTTGAACTGGTGTAACACATAAAATGTGACTGATTAGATTAAATGCAGGTAATTACTTAGCCATGAAATTGCCCTGCCCAATTAAATAAGCAGCAATTACTGTAAATGTGTGCTTTGAAGTGGATAGTGGTAGATAAACTCCAGCAGAGCTTTCCATTTTTTGGAATAAAATCATGTATATATCAGACAGTGCTGGATTTTACTACCACTCAGGTACCTGTGCTTACCAAGTTCTTGCTTTTATTTCCAATTTTGTGTGTGCGTGTGATAAACAAAAGCTGAGAGCTGCTTTCACCAATCTTTAAACCTTCACATCTAAAAGTTTTTTCCCCGTATAAGCAATATAATAAAGCCAAGATTTCAAATTCCTGCTCCATTTAACTTTAGTTGAAAAGAAGTTACTTTTCTATATCACCTTCTTCTAATGCCATGGTCCCTGGGCTAGAACGCTGGGGTGAGCCAGAGATTGCAAAGTTTGCATGTGGTGTCTGCAGCTAACTGCTGCAGCCACACCTGCCCTCTTCATCACTGGTGTGTGTGTTTGTGCGTGTGTGTGTGTGCATGTGGTATGTTTGTGTGTGTGGTGTGCATGGAGTGTGTGCACGTGATATGTTTGTGTGTGGGGGGTGTAGTGGGGGAGTGTCCACAGTTTGTGCAGTGTGTGTGGTGCGCGTGGTGTGTGCACGTGTAGTATGTGTGGTGTATGTGTGTGTCATGTGTGGGCATGTGTATGTGTGTATGGGATTCCCAACAAGGAAAAGAGTGCAGTCAATCACAGTGTGCTATCCTGCCAGCTCCGGAGGTCTAAAATCGGCATTTCTTCCCATCCCTACATATTCTCCAGGAATCCTCAGGACAGGGGGAATGCTCCTTCTCAGCTCCTGTCCCTAGCAAGCAGTGGCCTTCATAAATGAACTTGTTGAATGAATAGCTAGCTGAGTGAATGAAACTGGAAAACCCTTACAGAACAGAATACCCTTAGTAATTTTAGGGTGACACCATCTCTCCTCTCTAACCTAGATACCCATTACAAAACTTTCCAGAATAATTTTATTCCCAAATTGGAGAGAACTAAGCAATGACCTGTACACATAAAATCTTGACACAGGAAGAAGTCATACTTGGATGATGGTGATAGAGTTTTTCCTGAAGTTTTCTCTGCCATCCCTTCAACTCGAGGCATAGTGCACTGAAGGCATGCCCTGCTGTGTACACCTTCAGCTGACATAGACAGTCCCTAGCATACCATTTTCTATTTCTAGTCTTAGAACGTTTCATGCTTCACTTCGATTGATTATATCAAGTTGTCACCAGTCTGTCCCTAAACAGTATGTAATTACACAATCATATCACCCATCTATATTTAGTTCTTTTCTCATTTAGGTGGAAAAAGAACAAACATGGCCATTGTAAAACTCCTTAACTACGTGTTTGAAGCAAGTCAATTTATTTAAATAGAGAATATTTAACATCTGTCTAAGACCCTTGTCCCCTGTTGTGAACAGATGTGTCATGTGTCTTTTCAAGATTTCATTTTCTTTTTATGACTAAAAGGGGAAAAAAGTTCAGAAAAGACAATATTTTCTTAGTTACAAAAACTGTCTTCAGTAAAACAGTATTTCAAAGATTTCTATTTTACCCTCTTTAAATGTTTCCTCACATTTTGTCAGTTAAGCTCTCATTTTAAACTCCACAGTTTTTAGCAGTTTTGACAGAATAAGTCTGAACGAAAGGGAAGAATTGAAAGAGTCTTCACCTCTCAGAAGTCAATGATTTGTACAAAAGCAAACAGCATTTGGGAATAGAATATCTTGTCCAACAGCAGCCCCCAAACTTAAAATCAATCCTTCTACTGGCAAAGAGAATCAGCACTCCCTGTGCATTAAAACACCACCTCAGGGTCCCTTTGAGAACCTGTGTTCCTGGGCTAAGTGATTTTTAGAACTTGACATCTAAAACTTTTGTGCCTTTTCATCCAAGCAGAGAAACTAGTGATAACGGACATCTTCCAGCTGCATACCTTCAGGACATCCAATAGGTTTTATTTGGATTAAGAAATGCAATTGTTTTCAGAATTGAAGGGGAGGAAAGTAAAACTGACACATGTACTTTAAGGCCATCAAATTATGAACCCAGGTCTTGCACTACATTTACAGTTTTGGAAAAACAGCAAAAATAAACAACAGGTTCAAGTCTTGCCAGAGCCTAATTCACTCACCAATAGGATTTAGGGGCGATTTATGACTTGCAATAAATTGAAATAGCAGTAGCCAAAAAACTGAACAAAGACTGGATGCAAGCATAATGGTGTCTACAGCACGGGATCTTCACGAAGGCCATGTGTGCTTTTTAATCTTATTAACCTGACTTGTTGGTGCAACACATAATCTTTGAATGATGTCTGAAACTAAACTCACTCAAGTTTGTCACAAGTACATTCATAACTACAGAATATATGCTTTTACCTATGAAATTGCTACCAGAAATAGACATATAATATCATACAGTTAGCGAAATAAAATGCCCACTATCAGGAAAAAAAAAAAAAAAATTAATCTATTCTAAGAAAAATTCAGGTAATTTCCTTCAGATTTATAATGTCTACTTAAATTTATGATCAAGCTTCATCTGTTACTCTGGAATTCTTAAATGCCTGCAAAACCCTGATCTGTGGAATAGGACATACTCACCAAACAATTCTCTTGGGTTAGGTTGATTAATACCCATGTTTCAATCAATCGAATAAAACTCAGGAGATGGGGGGAAGGAAAGGGAAAATATCCAATTCTTTTCTGGTGCTTCAGCTTACCCTAATTCTGACAAACCTTTCTTAAATCCTGAGGATCTATAACTTGAACAACTATCCCCTCTACTTATTTTCTGCACTGAAGCCCAGCACTCCCTGCTGGATCTAAGAAGATATTTGAGCAACTTTAGTTTTAATAATTTTGTCATTGCAGGTTCATTTTGAAATTGGATAACTGTTTATAGGTTTGTCCACATAATCCAATCCAGCTGTGCAAACCTCCCTTATCTTCTATCCTCCTCATACACATACAGGGTCTGGCTCCACTCTGCTCCCCTTTTGGACCAGACTGCCCTTCCAGTTACTCCCACTCCCACCCCATGCTGTCCCCTTCCCAGTACCACTGGTTCTGGGTAAACACCCAGATCCCAAGGAGTCACCACATACTCCTGACTCAAATTCGGGAGACTGTTAGCTACACTAGACCCTCACTGAGGATATTCTCGGGCTCTTGTTACCTGCCAGCTCTTACCATACCAGCTTGGATTGGCAAGTAGGAAGCATAACTGCATCCCTTACTTCTCAAAAGAGGGAGACAATCTTCAGAGTTGGACCAGGTTGCATCACTCTGGACTGCTTTAGCAGTTTAAAAGGCAATGATTTTACACAAAAAATTCTGTTGATGCCAAATTTTCAAGGAATTTTTCATTTTAAAATCATTTGATCATACTATCTTTTTCTTCAGAGATATTACAACAATTTTTTTAAAGGGGACAATTTTCCCTGTTTCATCTCTCTTTTATTTTTTTTTTCTTCTTGTCTTTGTGGCAGCTGCTGTTTGATCTGCTCATTGGCTCTGATTTGTTTCATGTTTCAGCCAAAGATTAAAACTGCTCTGTAATTCTAAGCAGATGGGCCTAGGAGTCCAACCCTATAATTATACCTTCTCTCTTTTGCCCTCCAACTGCAAGCCTTGCATCCTGACTTAAAATTCCGGGATCGCTGGGGCTCACAGTACACCTTGGCAATCTGGCAGGTCAGGCCCAACCAGACACGTCCACAAGGCCAGTGGAGCTGCGCGAGCCGCCCACCCCCACAGGACTACAAAGAGAGAAGCCAAGCAGCAGCCTTGATCCTCTGGGGGTCCCCAGCCTCACTTTCAGTCCTAGGTACTATGCATTCTGAAGCTAGGGCCAGCTGCAGGTTTGGGTGTCTGTGGTGGGTGCTGTGGAAGGGGAACCACGCAGTCACTCTGCTGAAATGTGAGGTGTCTAACCCGGAGGGACACCTGAATCAGCGCATTGGGTTCTGCCATGGCCCGTCATGGTCACCAACGCCGACCTGCCCCAAACCCGCCCGGTCCACCCCAGTGCAATTCCGTCTTATTTTTCTCAGTGCAATTTCTGGGACCCTTTTAAAGCGCAGATGTTCTCTGGCTAGTGGCTAATTAGAGTCGCTGCGAAAATGCGGCCCGTGAAGCACAGGAAGAGACGATCCAGCAGGAGCCTGAGGGCGACAGGGCGTCAAGGTCGGGAGACCCTTAGGAGACCGGTTTCAATGACCACAACTGGGAAACCGCGCCCGGAGCCCCGCCGCCCCGCCGCCGCCCGCCGGGAGCCCGGGACGCGGACGCCACCGCGAGTCCTCGGACCGCGGCGAGGACTGCTCCTCCCGGGGCGCGCGGCTCCCTCCTCAAGCTCGGACCCCCGCGAGGCCCCGCGCGCGGCCCCTCTGGAGACGGGACCGCGAGCCTGCGACCCGCGACGTCCACGGTTTGAAGACCCAGCCGAGGGGACAGAAGCTCTCCCGCGGACTCGAGGGACGGCTCCGGAAGGCGGAGCGAGGGCCAGAGGTCTGCGCGCCGCCGCCGGGGAGGGCTGGGGCCGGGGAAGTCCTGGGGACTCACCGTGCAGCAGGAGGGCCGGGACCAGGCATCCGAGCATGAGGCGGCACGGCCGGGACATTCCGGCGCTCCTCGGGCCGTCCGCGCGCCGTCCTCTGATCGGGGGCCGCA